GGCCTATGTATCTTGGATACAGCATGCATTTCCATAAATGCCACTGTACCAAAAGTGGATCCAACAATTTCCCCGGAAGTGCACTCTCGCACTTGGTAGAGTTCATAGGGAGAGTTTTAATACCTTAGATGGTTCAAAATTTACTTTTTGGCTTATTAGGGATTGGCACTCGAAGTAAAGTTATTTTATTGGCAATTTTTACCTTTTTTTTTTTTTTAATTGATTTTTGTAATTCCTGTTTTAATTTTGATTTCATTTTAACTTTTTGATTCTGTACCTTTAGTTTTGGCTTATTGGCTTTATTTGCATTCCTGGTTAATTTGTTGTGCTTTTTTCTTTATATGATTTTTTTTTGTATTAGGTTGTTTACTTTTGTATTTTAGTTGTTATTGTTGTCCGACCGCACCACACGAGTTGTGTGTGCCACCGTTCTAAAGGTGTCAATAAATAAATAAATAAAACTGTCGATCTGTTGGACCTTAGCAACAATATCCAAGGGGCGGGGCTTAGCTGAGAGATCTAATCTACTCTCGACAATCAGCAAGGGTACATGGATCCAGAATGTTTCAAACGGGGGGAGGGGTGTGGTACGAAATTCTTTTTAGATAAATGATTAGCGAATATTTAATTACATAACATTTATATGCATTGAAATTTTAAAACGGGGGTGGGAGGGGCGGCACGAGCCTGATCAGCAGGGGTCGCACGGGCAGATCCAAACCTTCACACCGTTCGCTTTGGCGACTGTCAGATTGAGATATACATGTAGTAAAAAGTGATTGCAACGCGCGCCGAGTGTTTTAATACTGGGATAAATACGGTGTAATATTTGAATGCTGGACTGAAGAAAGGACGACGGCAGTACAACTTTTTCTTATTAATTGAAAGCATATCATGGCATGTAATAAATATTCTGACATGGCCTATCGTCACGGTACCATTTATTCATGGACGAAGATGAGGGCAATAGAGAACCTTCCCCAATAGCAAGTCATCTTAACCTCGATTGTTTTGAAAATTGCAATAACTTATTTCTCTTATTAGGCCAGTACTCTACCGCCCATGGTCTGAGAGTACAATGCACTATAAAATGCTTTTGTTTGATATTTTTCCTGTATCATTGGCTTCATAGCAATCAGGAGGATTTTTTCCACAACATGTCTTTGTATCTTTTGAATCCATTCATGTCAATTAATTACAAACAATGATCAATAGTCATAATTCGCAGAGGAGGAATATTAAAAATATCGGTACTGTTGATATGAGAATAATCAGATGGCTGACGCCGTTCTCCATCGACAATTAATGTTATGTGCATTATTTATGTACAGTTCTTATCTATTTATATACACTCTTTACACTCACATTTTCATTTGAAAAGAAGTTATCAACAACAATGGAGTGACGGTGTTCCGCATTTAAGTAGCCGTTAAATTATCAACCTGCTGTTCTGTGTTTGATTAGTGATCGTATTAGAACGATAATGATGCAGCAACAGGCTTGGTCAACTTTAAAAAAAAAGTATTCATAACCTTCTGTTGATCATAGATCAAACGTAGGAGCGGTATACAGCGCGATTTTATAACACTTTTATTGTACTGAAACATCTATAGGCCTAATATTTAAAACAAACAACTTGGAACAACATTGGTGTATAAATTCATATAAATATTTGAATTGTAATGTTTGGATTGTAATGATCCACTTGTTATCAAATAATCAAATCATTTTACGACCAGTTTTTACATGCACTTGTGAGTGACAATATGTAATAAACATAC